AGCCGTTGCGGAACTGGTTTGGCTTGCGGTGTTTCTATCGTGGTTTGCGTCATCATAGCTCTGAAGCCAAGTGTAGCTGTGCATGTTTATGCTGAACGTTGGCTGCAAGGCTAGATTAAGAGTGAAATTTGAAACCAACAGCTGATCTCCCAACATTGCTTACAAGTATCCTGTTGCTACCAGTAGGATCCAATTGGTACCCTTGGTCAAAACCCTTGCAAAACTCTTACATAGAAGCGGCTGTTTCTTATTAGGGGAGCTGTTTATAAGCTGTTAATATCGGTCATCACCTCTAAGCGGATTAGTTGTTAAGCAGATGTTATTTAATTAGGGCTTCCCTTTATAAGAGGAGCTGATTCTAAAAAATATTACTTATGATTCGAACCTAGTCAGCGAGGTTTACTTTATTGGCAGGTAATTTTTTTAGCACGTCACCAGACTCCTCGCAGACGAGAAATTTACAATAGAAGAAGTGCAATGGAGCGTAAGTACAGCGACTTGCACAATTCATCTAACCGAACACTCAAGTTAGGAGATGAAAGGGGGCGGAAAGTAAATTTTAATTCATTTATAACAATCGTTAGACTTGAAATAATTCAGAATAGGAACGTCACCTAAAGCAGCACGTTTCGAAATTTTCTAGTTAAAAAAAAACATTGAGCAGATATAGAGCTGTAGGTAGAAAGTGAAGTAGCACGATTGCCAATTTCTGCTGTTTACAACTCACAACAAAGGCCAACAAAAAGGTCGAAGTTGCAATTGGAAAGTCAAGAGGCAACACATCTCGCTATTACTCCATTTCTTTCAAAGAGTCCACAACAATCTCGGTCACTACACATGAGATAGGGAAATAGATATTGATAGATTGAGCTATAGTCTACCAAGAGTAGTAGATCTATTATGGTCGTCTACTGAATGATGATGCAGTAGGTGACGCTGCTATACCAGAATTTGGGTAGTTGTGCCGGTAGGAGTAGAGTGCTAGAGAAGGACAGCATGTTCCGGAAGTTTGACCCACCACCACTCCCGCCGTGGCCTGACCCGCCCCAAATAGCACCACCACCTCCACCAAACACTGCAACCCCACCAGACCCCACGTTCGGGGACCTGGGACCTCCGGGACTGCGAGGTGGGCTTAGCGACGTGTCTTCAGGAGGAGAGATGGAAAGACCGGAACACGCAAAACCGCCCGCAGACATGGTGCTCGAAGATGGGGTGGTCGTTAGTGCGCGCACCAGCCTGGCTCGGGTACCTTGGCTCCTGCACCGGCGGAGGTTGTCGCCACGTTCGCTGCCGCCTCGCTTCACAGCGCCCCGAGAGGCGGCGCCCCCACTCGTAGGCGACACGCACACTACGCCGTTCAGCTAGAACGAGGGACCGCGAGCCTCAGTCAAATTCCACAAATTCCTTGTAACTCCGGCTCAGGTACCATTGATGGTGGTATCGTTATCAGCATAATACCGTACGACATTAACGATGTGTCCTCTAACTTGTGGAACCTTAGAACTATTTGACTACCACTTTATTGAACCATCGAAGGTATCAGTCACATCAAAACCCCAGGGTCCTAGAGAGAAAGCTGGCAGCAACAGCACCGGCTCGTACCACCAGAACCTGCTGGCGCTCGACGCCTCTTCCACTCAAGCACTGAACGCACTAAACTCAGCTTCTTCAGCATATTTAGGCCAAGTAGAGTTGGCGTAAAAACAGAGGCAAACAATACTGCGAAATAACTACCTTCTAGAAGCCGCTGTTTTCATGAAACGATATCCATGGCTGTTTTCATCTAATGATAATTACAGTTGTTTTGATCGATCTATGACTTAAGAGCACTAGGCTTACTGCCAAAACGCAGAGGACCAGAGGGCTTGGAAAAAATAAATTACATGTGAAGTTGCAAGCTTGTCATAGGGACAGATACGACCTTATGAAAATTAATCGAAATGAAAGGTGTCTCCTAACCCTGGAACAGAAAAAAATAACTGAACTTCAACGAGATCTCTAATTCACCACAAACTTTAATTTAATAGATAAAGGAGTTTTAAAGTAAAGTATACTGCTATAGGTTTGTTAACGGGCATTGCATGTAACTGAAGGATCGTTATCAAGTATTGCACACAACTCGTCCAATGTAGCATATACACTAATTTGACTAAGGTCTGGTCAGGAGTTTATAGCTTCAAGGAAAGTTAGTCTGGAACAGGGACTCCCAACTATTTGCTCCCATATATCCTCTAGCAAGTCTTGATGGTCTGTTGTTTCATTTAGGATGTTTTCATTCTCTCGTGTATGCCATTTAAAGGTGTGTCTTCATGCGTCCTTTTATTTTCATGAACAAGTTTCTTCTCTTCATTTCCCCGAGAGGAGGAATTAGATTGGAAGTTTAGAAATGTTATTTTGGAAGTTTACAGATAAAATTTAGGTTATTATGATGCTGCGTGCTATCAAAACTCAAGGGCGTTAACGTTGCCGAGGTGGGGGGATAGAAGATGACAGAAGGTTAATTAAAAGAAGCTCCGAAACTGAACCTGCATTTCTTATTAATCCACTACAAGGGTCCACGGAGTTAACTTCGGGAAACTTTGTTTATTTTTTTAAACAATTTAGAGGCAATACACCGCGAAGAGTTGTATTTCACAGAGGTATTGTTAGTTACCAAATATCACGTGACATGGAATTAAGATGAAACTGTACACTTGATAATTTGTAGCTTATCTACGACGCCTCTGGTCAATCGCACCAGTGTAAGACGTACTCGTTCGGGCAGAGATCTAGGATGAACAGTTTTATAGTATTGCTTATTCCGGGATAGCATAGACGAACCTCGGCATAAGATAACATAACGAAGAAATTATTCGATGTTGTATTGCCTTGAAGATTACCGTTCAATATTTTCATAAGTGTATGGGTGAATATAAATTTTATAAGGCATTTAAATTAAACCAAATTACGAATGTACGAGCATATGGCGAGTATGTGTACCCCTTGTTGGAAAGCCCTGGTCCAGAAGCAGTGTAAACACAAAGCATTGGTCTAATTAAGCATTGACGTGCAAAGGAGCATCACTGAACTAAGGATGAACAGCTACATGGTGACGCATCACAAATGCCAGTGCACGTCTCCATCTTCAACATTAGCAACAGAAGACATCCTCGTATTTACCAATAACTATAGTAGGGCCTTTTGAGCCTTTAAAGAAACTAATGCAGCTGCGGTACTCTTCGTTGAGGTAGGAAGAGTGTGCGGGGGAGCAAGTATGAGAAGAAGAGAAGGGAGGCGGGCTTGAAGGCAACTGCTGAGGAGCGCACAGCAGCCAATGGTTGGACGGTAAGGTCTGGGGGCTACCCGCACATCCTAACTGGCCCCCAGCTTTCTGGACACCCCCCGCGTCACCAAAGAGAGATAAGAGCAAGATCTTCAGCGTTTGTGACTCCCTAGTGGCTTTAGTGATCATTAGCGTTCTGGCAATACTGAGCAGAGTCCAGCAACAACTGTTAGTCACTAAATTAGAAAGATACAATGAAAAGCCATTAGAACAGGCCTCCATGGTCTTGACTTATCAACTCAATGCGTTCAGAGTTTAGCGATGCGATAGTTAGTGCAGGACAGCACCTTCAGCGGTTAAAGTGAGCCTCGACAGTGAATAACACTCGGTGATAAAGTGACAGTATTTCTACAAAAAGGTATTTACAAATGATTTTATAGGTAGACGGTGGCTGAGTACTGCATTATTCGTGCATTTGGGAGAGGTAAGCGAACCAGTGCACAGAGGTTCTGATGTTACGAGAGCTCAAGAGTTACACGCCAGCTGTCTAAATATAATGCTGCCAGCAATCAACTTCAGACAGCAACATTACACCTCACTGACACATACCTGCGCAGGAACAAGGGAACGCAGTGGGTGAAACAACACCCCTGCACGCTGTGCATTTAGCTTTGGCACAACGGGGAGTAGATGTTATTCTTACCCAACGTCAACTTGTTCCTCGTGCAGATGCGAACACTAGAACACTGACCCAGACCAATAACTAACCAGAATCACGCAGAGCGTAGCAATTCTTGAAGCAAGGCAGGGACTGGCCGAGTTGAACCATTAAGTCTTAGAATGGTTGAGGGAAATAAAGTCTCTAGTGTTGTCATAACTCGACTAAATATAGCTTGTTACTCCGTTCGTTCTGGTTTGGGTCTGAGACAGCATTCCAGTGAACTGCCGAGTGTGAATTAGTGTAAGTGGAGCACCCGACATTTGCCCACGCATACGATTGGATTATACATGCATCCTGATTTGTAGCGATACTGCAATCAAGGGCCTTAGAATGTACAGGGTCAGTTATCGCTACGGTACTGTACTCCAAAGCACGTAGATAAGCCTGAATGTTAGAACATGAACAATGATAATGGCCAGAATAACTCTAGATGCAGATGCACCCGCTTATGATCACAATCAATTGCTGCCGCATGCAAACAAATCAGAGTGAAACGCAATATAAGGCACACGCGCAACAGTCAGCACGTTCACAATGAATAAAGCCTGCCTAGTGACAACAACACTGAAGGGAAATGATTTTGCTGCAGAAGCTCACTCGAATACGCACCAGTAAATACACACGAAACCGCCTACGAATACAAGCGCTCTCCAATAGTACAGCCGGACACTGAAGTCCAGGCATTATAGGGAGGTGTGAAGGGTGGTTGTAGTGAGAGAAGTGGTAACAAGCGGCCAGTAAGTCACGCAACACATGTCAATCAATGGGTGTAGTTGATGACAGGAAGAAGCAACCCCTACGAAGGAGTTTGATGAGTAGGGAATATGAGACCCCAACGCACAAATAACCAGGTGTTAGTACGAAGCTGTACCAAGTCTAATGCAATACTCGAGTGTTAGTGAGGACCAAACTAAAAGTGCTTGGGTTAGAGAAGTTCAAACGGTGTCGGGCCATTTGAGGTAACCTATGGTCTTGCACAGTACAGAAGAAACAGTCGAAGCAGTGTCAACATACCGTGAGTACCATGAGAGGACGAAGCTATTTTCGTGATGCTGTTCATGAAGTTCTTCAAGGCACCCAGACTCGTTGGGCTAGTGACACCTGATGACCCAGAAGTCGTGGCAGCCCCGCCAACAAGAAGATGGGACCCCGGAGAAGGCGTGTGTGGATTTGAATTTGTTTCTCGTGCGTTTGGATCGCCGTAGTCGGCGTGCGCTTGTGCTTCGTCGATATTGAGGCCGATCAGAGGTTTAGAAGTTTTCCCTGCTTCGTTTGGAGATATACCGGTTGACTGCAAGCTACTCGGACCGGACACAGTCAAACTCCCGGATACCCGATCACCTTCATCCGAGCCTTTACGAGATCGGATTTTAGACTCAGCAAGACGGCCCTTGCTTCGAGCAGGGGGGACAGGTCTGCCCTTTTCGTCGAAGAGTACTAAAGATGACCTGTTCCCGGAACCTTTCTCGTCTGGATCGTCTCCGACAGTGCTTGGAGGCAATCCTTTGCATTCATCCTCAGGTGTCGACTCGATAGAGCCTCTTTTACTCGAATGCAGCGTCGAGTTTGAACTCGAGACGACCCCTGATACAGGACTGCCACCTTCAGACGTGGTAGTGCTCACCGAGCTGCATCGTCTCTCAATCGTCGTCAAAGCGTCTTGGGCTTCATCAACTTCAGCCTCAATGACGTCGTCCAGAGGCGTGTCTCTCACTCCTTCCTCTTCTTGATTCTGGCCCTCTTCTCCGGGAGGGCCATCAAGCGATGTGCTGGCTTCCCAGGAGAAAGCTCGTCGCACCTTTGCGTCAAATTTCGTAAAGGTGTCACGTAGCCTGAAGCGCGATGCTTTGCGTTCATTGGGCTTGGATTCAGCGTCCGTTTTAGCTTCATCCTCAGTTTTGTCGCAGGTGATGTCATCATCAGGTAGGCCCTGAGCTGCCGTTTCAGTTAAGGTGATGTCAGCGGCGTCAGTAGCGTTACTAACAAGAGATAACAGGAGGTCGTCTGATTCGCACCTCCCAAGCTCCATTTCCTCTTCAGGACCGCAATTTTTGTAATCAGATTTGGCGTGACATTTTTTGAAGCTTCCTTCACTTAAATCCTCCGAATCTTCCTCACCTTCCTTCGGCTTATCTTCCTTTACCAAGACCTTCGATTTGCTTTCCTTCCGGGTGAGAAATTTTAGCAAGTCAATCTTAGAATCAGTAGGTTTGGTTTGCTCGTCTTTCGACTTGCAGTACTTTCGTATCATGGACTTTTGTATATCTAGCTCCCCTTTTCCTCGGTTATCCATCTTCTTCATGCTTTTCACGGATGCAAGAAGTTCCTCACGACTCCCCGAGCCCCCATAACTTGAGCAGGGGCCTCCGTCAATCTCGTCAATATGGCATCCTCTGGCGATATCTTTGAATTCCTATATTGAGGAGTCCAAAAACTTCTTTAGGAGGGCGTTGCAGCCAATGAGTAACAAACAACCAACTAACTGTCATGTTTAAAAAAAAAACAAGTCACCCGCACTTAGATGAACATATTAGTTTAGTGAAAACGGGATGAATGTTTGGAAGACTTAAGATATGGTTGACATTTGAGCAAGTGAGTGAAGTACAAGTCTGCTTACCCCTCTCGGTCACACGAAGGTACGAGCATTTTTGACAAGCCAGCGATAAAATTCGTTATCGCTCATACTTCTACCATACAACCACGAAAATAAAATCAAAATATAATGAAATCCAACATAATTGATCAACTATCATGTTGAACTATACCAAGGTGAACAGTTTCATTGTTAAATATCATGGAAAACTCTACCACGTTGAACTCAAAGATTTAGGATTAGCCTACCGCTTCAATTAATGAAGCTTCAATTAACTAATTTACGTAGTTACAGAAGTCACTGAGCAACTCTTTGCGACGTCAAAGATATTACGGATGCTGGCTTGATAAATGAAGCGCATTAGCCTTGATTTACAGTGGGATGGAAATAGCATGTCTTGCTTGGCCTACACCACACCAACCAACCAACCAACATATGTGGATGACACTTAGACGTGTGGATAACACACGGTTGGCACCGTGATGTACCTAGTTGGCACCGTGATGTACCTATAGATAAGAGGTGCGGACGATACCTCCGTCTGGATTACATCTCCAGACTACACAGCAGCTACATGGCCCGGTACTACCGACATTGTAATCAACGAATACTAACTGTGAGACAATTTATATTTCTTCCAATTCTTGTTCTTGGATTAAATCGATATTCAATCAACTTAACTTTTAGCATATGTACCTCTGACATCACTTCAGTGAGTTGACTAATGTTTTATATTGCCTTACAAGTTATGCGACCGAGATTTATTTATTATTGTTACCCTAATAATTGAAGTACAACTACAAAATGTGAGATCAAGAACACGGTAAACTTTCACTGACATCAGGCACTCAAACCACCAACACACGAGGATGACATCAGACAGACAGCTGACAGCTGCACGACAATCACGGTAAAGAAAACCAATACAAGTTTCAGGGACCAGCAGATATGACAGTTACTTTAACCCTCTGTCAACGGATACATGTACCATTATCAATGCTATTCCTACCCAAAAACATGGTAGAGTTTACTCATTGTCATCTGGCATCAACCGTACTCAACACCACTTAAAAGGTAACTCTCGTACCTAACTGCCAGGTACAAAGTTACAGCCTGTATACAAAGTGTTAACACTTAGGTTGCGGATACACTGATATTGCTACCCAATAGCCTGGTAGAGTTACCCGCAGTAGACAAAGGGTTAAAGAACTAAACTGGCCGACTGAAGTACAGCGCCGTGATCATCATGACCTCATCAAAGTTCTTAACGATTAAGGCCTCCTGCAGATATTGGACATGAACATGAAATTTAAGTCGAGGCTATAACCTCGCAGAAGATGAATTCTGAAATAAATTCATTCGTGAAAAGTGCGAGTAAATTATCCTGACGGCTTATAAGACCCAAATATTTTAAACGAATATACCTTACTATACCAAACTCTTCTCTCAGATATTAATATAATCATCAACCTGCAGCCTGCACTGTACTCTCGGAGTGACACATTAAGAAACTAAATCGCCCAACTAACTCAGGATGCTGCAGACAGTCAGGCAGAACTCTGCTACACGCATTGCAAGAGTAGGACCTCGACGTAGTGACTATGTCGGCGAATCTATTTAAAACTAATTTTCTATACAAAGAGAAAAGATCTACATACGTTTGTAGTTAACTTAGAGTGCCTAGTACCAATTACGCAATGCAGCTGCTTTGATTCCTAACTGCCTGCACACCAGGAGTCCCACATTGTTATCCTAATGTCCTGTTCTTTGACCCTCAACTGAGTAACTATGTACATTGTACACGAACTAGCATCGCGATTATAGATATATAACAACTATACACGTACCTACTTGCGTACAACACACACGGGTATTTTTTGGATAAAACTATGTATTACAGAACGGTTGCCTACATCAACTCTAAGAAACGCAATTCGGAATTCTAATCTATACTAATCTAACCTTGGAACCTACACGGGAATGTTTACAGCCCAACTATTCCTACGTAGAACCTACACCAATTATTTTAGGTAGCAATACATTGAGACCAAATTCCGTATCCTGAAGTACACTATTCACTATTATACTACTTGCATAGGCGGAGAGCCACGTACCTGATCTGACGAAGGCGACGGATCTCTGTCCTCGTCTTTCTGGTCGGGCTTCTTAGGGGAGCGCGGTACTCTCTGGTACGGGTCCGCGGCGCCGTACAGCTCAGGTGTGCCCATGTTCAGGAGGCACGTGTTCTGCACGTAGTCCACGATCACCAGCCCGCTCTCGTTGCCGTACGCGATCCTGGCAACCAGAGGACTTTTATGTATGGGGGGACCTAACCTAAAACTTAACCTGACACTTGTTCCGAGACCACATCTGGGACATAACCTAGGACCTGTTCTGAGGCCTCATCCATGACATAACCTGGGACCTGTTTTGGGACAAAACCTGGGACCAGTTCTGGGACATAACCCGAGACCTGTTCTGGGACATAACCTGGGACCTGTTCTGGGACATAACCCGAGACCTGTTCTGGGACATAACCTGGGACCTGTTCTGGGACATAACCTGGGACTTGTTTTAGGACATAACCTGGGACCTAAGCTGGGAGAGGTTCTGTGACCTCAGCTGGGCACAGAAGCACCTCTATGGGTCAGTGGGCTTAACATGGGTACATTGCCCCTCTATGGTTCAGAGTCTCACCAAACTGAAGGGTCTCAATAAACGCATGGATATCATTAGAATGTAACGTACCACGCATCAGCTGGTAGAGTGATAGCACGACTGAAATGTACCGTGCACAGTTAGACTCACATTGTAAACGGTTCAGTTCCCAGTACACTATACAGTCCACAGTGGCCAGTACACTGTATACGCACAGTACATTATACAGTACACTGTACAGTATCCAGTACACCGAACATTCCAGAGTACCCACAACACTGTACCTTATACAGTAAACTGTACAGTACCCACTACACTGTACAGTACACTGTATAGTATCCAGTACACTGTACAGTCCACAGTGCCCACTACACTGTATCTTAAACAGTACACTGTATAGTATCCAGTACACTGTAGAGTGTACAGCACCCCGTACACTCACAGGCCGTACGCAGAGTTGACTGCGAGGGCGGTTATCTGGCCGGGAGGCTCGCCGTTCACCCAGGGGGTGAGACACACCAGCTCAGCCTGGTAGCCCGGGGGCTTCTTCTGCATGCCCCCACGCACGTGCACTGTCACGAAGATGTCCAGGGACGCCTGCTGTCACGCGTAGGAGGGGGTAAAGGGGGTTATTCCTGATCAGAGTTGGGAGATGTCATCACCCCAATGATCAGAGGGGTGAAGGTCATCCTAATACGTTATACGTCCTAATAATCCTAACAATAATGATATAGTAATGTGTCCCAATAATCCTAATATGTTTTACGTCCTAATAATCCTAACAATGATGATATAATAATAAGTCCTAATAATCCTAATACGTTATACGTCCTAATATTCCTAACACACCAGTAGACCGCTTAGTGACCACATCCCAGAGTTCCTAGTAAAGCTCCTAGCTAGCTCCAGCCATTAAGTGAGCATTGCAAATTCTAACTGAACGGTGATGACAATGATAATCATAATGATAGTTATGACCCGTAACGTGGCTACGGGACCAGCGCGAGCAGCAAGGCATCCGTCACGACTTAAAGTGGCGGTTGTCTACATCCTGAGCCTCATGCCACTCATCCTTCAACTGGCACAGAAGATGGCAACGTGTGCACCTACTGAACTGCTATAAGAGGACAGAATGTGCTCCTTATACAAGTTCGAAAAAATGATACGAGAATGCAATTTATTTTAATTTAACCGGCATTTCAACGAATAGGATATTGAGCAGCCGTATCACCTTCCACCTCCCGTCTGGAGGGCAAGTGAACCACCTGAGACAAGCTCACACTTGCCCTGAGCTGGAGGAACCCACCAGCATCATCATGCGGTGCTGGAAGAACCCACCAGCATCATCATGCGGTGCTGGAGGAACCCACCAGCATCATCATGCAGTGCTGGAGGAATCCACCAGCATCATCATGCAGTGCTGGAGGAATCCACCAGCATCATCATGCAGTGCTGGAGGAATCCACCAGCATCATCATGCGGTGCTGGAGGAACCCACCAGCATCGTCATGCGGTGCTGGAGGAACCCACCAGCATCATCATGCGGTGCTGGAGGAACCCACCAGCATCCATGCGGTGCTGGAGGAACCCACCAGCATCATCATGCGGTGCTGGAGGAACCCACCAGCATCATCATGCGGTGCTGGAGGAACCCACCAGCATCATCATGCGGTGCTGGAGGAACCCACCAGCATCATCATGCGGTGCTGGAGGAGCCCACCAACATCATCATGCAGTGCTGGAGGAACCCACCAGCATCGTCATCTTGCAGTGACCCAACACTATCCGCCCAACGATAGCTGAAGTTTCCGGAGTAATCTTTGAACTTCATTCTTCAGTTTGTTTATACTCAGGAGTATAATGTAAATTTGTTCAATAAAATTTTATTAATCAATCTTACTCACTCAACCAGAAAATAAGCGTTTTTTTACCTTCGAAACGTCGTTAATATATTAAACTTTCTAAAAAGCTAGCCAAAGAATCGTTTGACTCCTTGAATATTTTTAATATATTGCATTCTCTTGTCATTTATCGTACTTGGATAAACTAATGGACTATGCAGATGCAAGTGAGTTGTGTACATGGCTACGAGCACGCGTGCTACAACACACGACTTCTCTACGATAAACACAGGTCGCTAGGAGTCGAGCAATATACGACTCTTCTACAACAAATAAAAATAATTAGGAATATTCTAAAAAAATATATAACAAATAGAATTATTCTAAGAAAAAGAAAACAAATAGGACTATTCTAAAAAAATACGACTGTTGTGTAAATTTTGAAAAGAAACGCGGCTCTTCGAAATGAAGCGAAACGAAACTAAAAAAATGATTTGTCGATACGAAGAGAAAAACCAGCAGATCCACTGGCAACAAACGTCACTACCAGGCAGTCACAAACAAATGTCACTACCAGGCAGTCACTAACGAACGTCATTACCAGGCAGTCACTAACGCTTGCTGAGTGGACAGACTCGATAACAAGAAATTGGATGACAAATAAGAAAATTGGAGGACAGAAGAGGGGATCTGAGGGCAGTGGGCACTGGGCATCCTGCATCATGACGGTGCCCACTGCCTAAAGTGGGCAAGAGTGGTACATGGGTCCGGCTGAGTGGGCAAGAGTGGCAGGACCAGAGTGTCAATCAGACATCTCAGTGCGTTAGAATTTCAGCTAAATTGATATGAGTGACAGTTGAAGGAAATTGAGTGGGAGAGTGGAAAGCATTATTGACATCGAGATGAGAGCAACGTTGGTTCCAACGCCCGCAAGTTGCGAGCACTCTGGCGGAGTCTCCTGTAGGCGGGGCTACGTGCGGCCGCGGACGAGGTTGTGATGTTCTGAACGGAACCCAAGAACGTCGGACTTGTCTGAGTCCTTAAACATAAACTTAAGGGGGGTTGAAGCCAGCTGAGTGGAAAGAGTGGCATTTGCGGTCAGTTGAGGCCAACCGAGTGACAAGAATGACATTTGAGGCCAGCTGAGTGGATAAGAGTGGCAGTTGAGGCCAGCTGAGTGGATAAGAGTGGCAGTTGAGGCCAGCTGAGTGGATAAGAGTGGCAGTTGAGGCCAGCCGAGTGGATAAGAGTGACATTTGCAGTCAGTTGAGGCCAGCCGAGTGGACAAGAGTGGCAGATGAGGCCGGCTGAGTGGACAAGAGTGGCAGATGAGGCCGGCTGAGTGGACAAGAGTGGCAGTTGAGGCCGGCTGAGTGGACAAGAGTGGCAGATGAGGCCGGCTGAGTGGAACCCCCATGTCCCCCGTGCCCCACACGTGCCCACGTCTCACGGGTATCTCAGCGCAGGTCTCGAGCTTGCCCCACACGTGTTCCCCGTGCCCCACACGTGCCCCCATGCCCCACACGTGCCCACGTCTCACGGGTATCTCAGCGCAGGTCTCCTGCTTGCAGTATCTGTAGAGCATGACGTGGCACGACGCCCCTGCCACGACGAGGAGCCGTGACTCTGGGCAGAGGCAGACGTGCTGCACGGCGAAGGGATCGTCGTCGTCGGCGGTCGCGCCCTTCGTCTTGTCCTTCTCGAAGACCTTGGTCGTCTTGAGCTTGTAGAGCACCTGCAGGCTTACGGAGGACGCGTCCCAGAACTTCAGGGACCCGTCAGCGTGCCTGGGGGCGTGGGTGGCGGTTACTGTCATCTGCCATCATCTGCCATCACCGCTACTATAATCGTATGTCACTAATGGAGCTCCACTCACCACTCAGCAGCACCACTCACCACTCGCCAGCACCACTCACCCCGTGACGATGAGCTCAGGGTAGCCGCAGGACGTGGAGCTCCACTCGCCCCCACACACGGGCCACTCGCGGGGACTGAAGCCGGTCTTGTGGGCCCGGGCGGCCCCCACGGAGTAGAAGGCGGGGATGAGGTCCGCGGGACAGTCGGCGAAGTAGGCGCAGCAGGTGACGGGTGACTCATGCAGGTCCATGGGGTACGGGTTCTCGTGGCATGGGTACCCCGTCGTCAGCAGGTCCACCACCACCAGGTCGTTGTGTAGTAGCACCACCAGCGCATAGGGGTCTGCTTGGTCTGGGGGAAGTGGGGGTCTGCTTGGTCTGGGGGAAGTGGGGGTCTGCTTGGTCTGGGGGAAGTGGAGGTCTGCTAGGTCTGGAGGAAGTGGGGGTCTGATAGGTCTCTGTCTCTTATACACATCTAGATGTGTATAAGAGACAGGGTCTGGGGGAAGTGGGGGCTGCTAGGTCTGGGGGAAGTGGGGGCTGCTAGGTCTGGGGGAAGTGGGGGCTGCTAGGTCTGGGGGAAGTGGGGGCTGCTAGGTCTGGGGGAAGTGAGAGGGCTACATGAGGGGGTGAACGTGCCAACGCACCACACAAGCACCACTAAGTCGATAGCTGTGCATCACACTCGCGTGGACGAATGTCATGACATCACACAAATGAGTGAGCTTTTATTGATGCTTAGTTGCTTGAAACTATGATGATCAGGCCTACATCACACTCGAGCTGATGTACAGTGCAGTGCACCGTACTAGTTCAGGCCTACATCACACTCGAGCTGATGTACAGTGCAGTGCACCGTACTAGTTCAGGACTACATCACACTCGAGCTGATGTACGGTGCAGTGCACCGTACTAGTTCAGGCCTACATCACACTTGAGCTGATGTACAGTGCAGTGCACCATACTTGCCGTAAGTAGTAATGCCCACCTGAAGGCCAGGGACTCTCGCAGAGTGTGATGAAGTCCACGACGTTGTGCTCCATCTCGAGGACTGTGGTGGTCTTGCCGTGTATCACTGTGATGCTGGGGGTGCGGCCTGCGTGGTTATTGGTCAAACCCCCGGAGAATATGATGAACGATTCCCTGCACACCAGCACCACATTAGTGGGCAACCACATCATACGGTGATGTCTAACACCACATATACGGGGATGAGTAGTTCTATATCAACATCACAAGCGCTAAGCTACACACAGGCACGGCACCATTAACCACCACCCACCTCTCACCACTCATCACTTAGCAGCACCATTCACTACTCAGCAGCACCACTCACCACTCAGCAGCACCACTCACCACTCGCCAGCACCACTCACCACTCAGCACCACCACTCAACGGACCAAATACGGCGTATGTGGCAATGTTCTTCTTGCATACACTTTTGTACGTCGTGTTAATGATAGAACTCCGAGCATTCATTCTTTCGAGCCCCTTGGGTCCACAGCACGACTTATGGAATCAATTTCTAATTGAATATCTTATTTATATTTACAAAGTAACACATGTACAGAAACATTACAACCTAGCGCACCACACTCCCTCACCCCAGTGCACCACACTCCCCTACCCCCAAGTTTGCTGGAGGTTCACTACACGCCTAGTACATCACACTCACTGCTGCGCACCACACTCCCTTCAGTGCACTACACTGGAGGGAATCGAATTTTCACCGTTTCATTTACCACGCTTTGCTGTCTGAGCCCAAATGTTTTAAATTCAGTGAAGCGTTCGTGGTAGATCAGTGAACTCAGTAAGCCACTGAAGTGTGGAAGTTAATTGGAAGTATTCAGGCAATTCTTATATGTATAAATTCGTAAATATTTCGGGATCAGCTAACGCTAGGCTGAACTGTAAGTCAACAATCGCGCAAACAAGTTAAAAATCAGAAAATTTTATCTCAGGAAAGTAGTGAAACAGTGAAAGTAAAGCGTGATCAGGCACAAGTAATCAGTGAATTAAATTTGTAAAATGTAATTGTTTTTACACTCGGTAAAAACACCTGGGATTGTACTCACTGGATACTGTACACTTGGAAGATGATAAACGGACTGGCTCCCAACTTTGAGAGTGAGACCTCCAAAATAATGACATATTACAACGAAAGAAGGGGGAGACGGTGCAGGATTCCCCCATTTAATAACCGAGCCGCGGCCAGAGTACAGACTCTTCGTGAGGGATCACTGTCCGTGGTAAGTGACAAGCAACAGCATCTTGCATCAGCTGGCCCAAAGGAGGGCAAATAGACGGAACACGTCCAACGTTACATCCGACGACGACTCGGAGACGGAGGACGACGAAGGCGGCGCATCAGCGTGACCGGGGACTGGGAAGTCCTAAACTAATCATAAAGTCATGAGGTCACGCTCCCTCCAGTGCATCACACTGCCTTCAGTGCACCACACTCCCCCAGTGAACCACACTCATTCACCACACTCCCCCCGCGCAACACACTCCCGCCCACTCCCCCTCACCCCAGTTTGGTGGAGGTCCACTCCACCTTCAGGATGGGCTTGCACGTCTCCTGCTTGCCGTCCTTGTTCACTTTGGCTGAGGGAGAGAAAGTTCCGTTAATAGAAAGAAAGAAAGAAAGAAAGTTCAGTTACAACGCTTAGTTAACATTGGTGCATGTTAATCATTAACTGGAGGATTAAGTCGAGTTAATCTGTCATCATTCAGTGATATTGATGGTCATGGATGATAATTCCACACCGTGGATGATGGTGGTGGGGTGGTGGCAGTAGATGATGGTGGTGGGGAAAGATGGTGGAGGTGGACACGCACCGTGGGGAAAGATGGTGGAGGTGGACACGTACCGTGGGGAAAGATGGTGGAGGTGGACACGCACCGTGGGGAAAGATCTGTCTCTTATACACATCTAGATGTGTATAAGAGACAAGAGTGGCAGATGAGGCCGGCTGAGTGGACAAGAGTGGCAGTTGAGGCCGGCTGAGTGGACAAGAGTGGCAGATGAGGCCGGCTGAGTGGATAAGAGTGGCAGTTGAGGCCAGCCGAGTGGACAAGAGTGGCAGATGAGGCCGGCTGAGTGGACAAGAGTGGCAGTTGAGGCCAGCTGAGTGGACAAGAGTGGCAGATGCACAAGTCAAGAGTGGCATGCCGGCAAGGCGTCAAGGTGCGACATGTAAACAACTCGAGCAACAGACACAACACAGCAACCTACTCCTTGCTTTCTGGTGGTGTTAGGCGACTGTTGTTGGGGTTTATGGTTGGTGGGTGTGGTGGAACATGGTTGTGGTGGTGGTGATGATGGTTGAGGTGAAGGTTGTCTTTTGGTCGTCGCGGAGAGGGGAGACCTCGGTACCTGCAGGCTCGGCCGTGGAGGGAACTCGCACTCTGGCGAGTAGTCGCCGGTGTCGTACGCGTCGTACACGATGGGGATCTCCAGGCACTGTAGGGGAGGAAGGGGAGTGAGGATAGGGAGGAGGGTGAAGGGGCTGTGGCTACCAGAGGGGAGCCACAGCCCCCATACCTCACGTTCCACAATCTCAAGTGTCTTGCGGGTACAGCACATAACCGTGATAATCCGCAACTTAAATTTCACGAAAGTATCTCCCACCCCCGTGCTTCACACATGTCCCCCGTGCCCCACACATGCCCCCCGTGCTCCACACATGTCCCCCGTTCCCCAGGGACGTTAGGGACGTTAATAATCTGGGAGGAGATAAATCTTAGCCACAGCACCAGCCCGTCTCGAACCCCAACAGGAGCTGGAGGGCGGGACGTTAGGGACGTTAATAATCTGGGTGAAGATAAATCTAAGCAACAACATCAGCTGGTCCCGAGTCTTCAGCACGTTTTCATCGTCTCAGGTGGTGCGCATCAAGAAACATTGTTGTGGTAGGAGGCGACAGTAAGTTGTCTATGTTGTAAATTAACATGAAATATATAGTTAACAAAATAATTACTTCTTAAAGATAGAAAGATTGCCAACAACACTTCGTTGTCGATGCATTAAATGACGATCAAAATATCGACTCAAGGGAAACTTTTACTTCCTGCATGATGAAAACTCCGGCCTGGTAACGCAGGCCTAATTCTCATGCATCCGTTTTAAACATTGACTTTACATTTACTTAAATTTTCAGTGTTTGTAGCCTGGCACCGAAAAAATATAGGGGATTGTTGGGGCGTGTATCCAGGATACTTATAGAGTCGGGATTTTGCCTGGACTATAAATGACATTCTCAGTGGGAGAATATAGGAATGGATTGCAGGAAATCCGAGAAACAAAGAGAAATAAATGAAATTTTAATTTTAAATTGGCATATACGCATTAATTTGGAAATAGCAAATAGGAGCAAAGTAGTTTTTCCATGTTTGGAAACGAGAGCCAAGTGGTAGTTCTATGTTTCATTTAAAATATTGGTTTGAAGGGGGGGATTTCTATTAAATATAAATGAGCTTCATTATTAAGGCAATTAAAACTAGACAAATAGCAGGATTCGGAATAGCGGAATAAAATATTCTCAAGAAATTTTAAGCACGGACAGTGTCTGACTTACCTGCTAGTATATAAATAATTAGAATAAATTATATAAATTACTATATAAATGATTAAAAATAATTACCTTGCCAGGGTCTACGGGGCAGTCGCTGAGGTGGACGATGGCCCCGGGATGGCTCTTGCGAGACCTGCCGGGGAATGGAGGGCCAAATGAAACGTGATTAACCAGGAATTTAAAAGTAAAGAAAATAGCCAAAAAGTTCACCATTTCTTATAAGAAAAACGTGATTAACAGCAAAATAAACAGGTGAACTTGAACGTAAAACACAGTCCTACTTCTACATACAAACTTAATTCGTTCCGTGAATGGGTGTCTTTGAGAAAATGTTCCTATGTGCAAATAATATTTCAAGTCCAAATTAAAAAAAAACACGTGCCGCACTAGCCCAAAAGTCATAATTTTTGTCCTATTTAATATACTTTATGAGAGTTGTTCGTGCAGTCATATTAACAGGAGTTTCCCATGTCTTCATTAACGTTGGAACGACGCTTGAATATGATCGATATTCCTTTGGCGCTTAAGAGTCCAAGAGTTCCTTCCGTCTAAGATAGTATCGATTTCAGTTTTACTACAGCGCCGTACTCCCTCGCCATGTCGACAATGCGCTGCCCTATACGCGTCATGCTCACTGATTATCTCATGTCATATCGAGTAGTAAGTAGTAACAGTAGATGTAGAATGGTTGGCTAGAGATTCAGCTATCAAGATATTTCGCACCGGAAGTCAAAATATAACATCGCCAGCGAGGCGGAAGGTCTCAATTATTCAAAGTCTCAAATTATTCATCACCCACAAGAGGCGGAAGGTCTCAATTGTCCAGCCCGCTGAAGCTGGCTCGAAAGAAGCAGCGTTAGAATATCAGAGAGACGAAGTGACAAGGAGGGACAGGTGACAAGGAGGGACAAGTGACAAGGAGGGACAGGTGACAAGGAGGGACAGGTGACAAGGAGGGACAGGTGACAAGAAATGTAAGGAATCCTACCCACATAATAACTTAATGAAAGGAAACCTACCTACATAATAACTTAATGTAAGGTATCCTACCTACATAATAACTTAACCCCACAACTGGAGCAACGGTCAGACACCGCGAGCACAGCGGTGGGGCGCTCAGCATATTATATCTAGCGTCATCGCCTGTTTTACAGCCTTCGCCAGTGTTTTCAGTAGTCTCAAGAGCCATGATCCAATACTGTACTGATTACGCATTTATTATTTTAACACACAAATAAAATTTAGCACGAAAAAAAAACACGGATAATGCTCCTTTAGCAGCCAAGCTATGTTCATCAGCCAAGCAATTAATGTTTATCAGCCAAGCAATGTTCGCCAGTCAAGCAATGTTCGTCAGCCAAGCAATGTTCGTCAGCCATGAAATGTTTGGAGGGATGTAGAGTTTGGATAAATTGCTTACTACATTCGTACTCATATCAACCATAAGAGAAATATATCTAGTTCTGCTTAATTAAGGCTTAGTACAGTAGAATTAATGATCTTACCAACCAAAAAAACACCTATATTTATTTCAGTTTAACTAAGATATAGTAAATTTGTGGATCTTTTATCTTGCTGGTGCGCGCGGCAGCATAAAGCTGCAGCCCCGCCAGCGCTACGAGGCGCTAAGCCTGGCCACATCACACGCTGGCTTTAATTTGGATGCACGGCGCCATTACGTGGGCAAAAACCGCGCCTCTGCAATGTTGCGCTCAGCTTAATTGCGAACTGCGAGACAACGTCGGGTACGTCTGGCAGGTGGAGAGGTGGGGGGGACACTGCCGACGGCGCGTGGGTGTACGACAACATGGAGGTGGGGAGACACTGCTGACGGCGCGTGGGTGTACAACAACATGGAGGTGGGCGACACTGCCGACGGCGCGTGGGTGTACGACAACGTGGAGGTGGGCGACACTGCCGACGGCGCGTGAGTGTACGACAACACGGAGGTGGGGAGACACTGCCGACGGCGCGTGGGTGTACGACAACATGGAGGTGGGCGACACTGCCGACGGCGCGTGGGTGTACGACAACGTGGAGGTGGGCGACACTGCCGACGGCGCGTGAGNCAGTGTGAAGGCTTGTGAGGCGTATGAGTATTATGAGGTACTCACAAGTCTATAGCCTTGTTCCAGTTAATGATGTAGCCCGACAGTGTGAAGGCTTGTGAGGCGTATGAGTATTATGAGGTACTCACAAGTCTATAGCCTTGTTCCAGTTAATGATGTAGCCCGACAGTGTGAAGGCTTGTGAGGCGTATGAGTATTATGAGGTACTCACAAGTCTATAGCCTTGTTCCAGTTAATGATGTAGCCCGACAGTGTGAAGGCTTGTGAGGCGTATGAGTATTATGAGGTACTCACAAGTCTATAGCCTTGTTCCAGTTAATGATGTAGCCCGACAGTGTGAAGGCTTGTGAGGCGTATGAGTATTATGAGGTACTCACAAGTCTATAGCCTTGTTCCAGTTAATGATGTAGCCCGACAGTGTGAAGGCTTGTGAGGCGTATGAGTATTATGAGGTACTCACAAGTCTATAGCCTTGTTCCAGTTAATGATGTAGCCCGACAGTGTGAAGGCTTGTGAGGCGTATGAGTATTATGAGGTACTCACAAGTCTATAGCCTTGTTCCAGTTAATGATGTAGCCCGACAGTGTGAAGGCTTGTGAGGCGTATGAGTATTATGAGGTACTCACAAGTCTATAGCCTTGTTCCAGTTAATGATGTAGCCCGACAGTGTGAAGGCTTGTGAGGCGTATGAGTATTATGAGGTACTCACAAGTCTATAGCCTTGTTCCAGTTAATGATGTAGCCCGACAGTGTGAAGGCTTGTGAGGCGTATGAGTATTATGAGGTACTCACAAGTCTATAGCCTTGTTCCAGTTAATGATGTAGCCCGACAGTGTGAAGGCTTGTGAGGCGTATGAGTATTATGAGGTACTCACAAGTCTATAGCCTTGTTCCAGTTAATGATGTAGCCCGACAGTGTGAAGGCTTGTGAGGCGTATGAGTATTATGAGGTACTCACAAGTCTATAGCCTTGTTCCAGTTAATGATGTAGCCCGACAGTGTGAAGGCTTGTGAGGCGTATGAGTATTATGAGGTACTCACAAGTCTATAGCCTTGTTCCAGTTAATGATGTAGCCCGACAGTGTGAAGGCTTGTGAGGCGTATGAGTATTATGAGGTACTCACAAGTCTATAGCCTTGTTCCAGTTAATGATGTAGCCCGACAGTGTGAAGGTCTCGACGTTGACGATGTGGACGTTGCCGCGCTCCGACCCCACGTACAGCCACTTGCTCTGCAGCGCCAGGCACACGCTCGTCACCCTGCCGTGGGGGGAGGGAGGGAGTTATAGGGGGGCTGAGGGGGACTGGGAGAGAGGGAGAGAGAGGGTTACGAGGGGCTGCTGGGGAGGGGGTGTGAGGACCAAAGGTTAATATCCACAATGTGGGGTTTACGGGAGCCAAAGTCCAACAACCCCAGCTACATATAACTATGACCTTAGCCCCTGATGACCCTAGTCCCGATGATGTCCCAATGATGTCCCTAGTCCCGATGATGACTCTAGTCCCAATGATGTCCCTAGTCCCGATGATGACTCTAGTCCCAATGATGTCTCTAGTCCCGATGATGACTCTAGTCCCGATGATGACCCTAGTCCCGATGATGACCCTAGTCCCGATGATGACCCTAGTCCCGATGATGACCCTAGTCCCGATGATGACCCTAGGCCCGATGCTGACTCTAGTCCCGATGATGACCCTAGTCCCGATGATGACCCTAGTCCCGATGATGACCCTAGTCCCGATGATGATCCTAGTCCCGATGATGACCCTAGTCCCGATGATGACCCTAGTACCGATGNGACCTACCTCTGGCGCTGCCACTTAAAAGCCTGACCCACCTCTGGCGCTGCAACTTAACCCCACCTCTCACGCTGGAACTTGAGGGAGTGGACGATCTCGGGCCTCTTCTGGCGCAGGTTCCAGATATGGACGCTGCTGTCGGCCGTGGCGCTGATGAGGGCGCCTTCGTTCACCAGGAACACCAAGAACAGCACTGCCGCCTCGCTCTCGTGCCTCATGTGAGCGTCAACCCCGGGCCGTCCGATGCTGGAGGAGGAGCTTAGGAAAACTCGCATGTGTACCACGTGAATAAACATGAATGAGCGTAGTGAACGGGTAGGCATTGATGAATAAACACGTAGCAAACGCGCTGGCATTGATGAATGGACGTAGTAAACGCAGACATTGATGAATGGACGTAGTAAACGTGCAGGCATTGATGAATGGACGTAGTAAACGGGCAGGCATTGATGAATGGACGTAGTAAACGCGCTGGCATTGATGAATGAACGTAGTAAACAATAAGGCATTGACGAATGAACGTAGTAAACGCCCAGGAATTGATGAATGGACGTAGTAAACGCGCAGGCATTGATAAATGGACGTAGTAAACGCGCAGGCATTGATGAATGAACGTAGTAAACAATAAGGCATTGATGAATGAACGTAGTAAACGATCAGGAATTGATGAATGGACGTAGTAAACGCGCATTCACTGATGAATGGACTTAGTAAAGGCGCAGGCATTGATGAATGGACGTAGTAGTAAAGGCGCAGGCAATGATGAATGGACGTAGTAAACGCGCAGGTTTTGAGGAATGAACACGTAGTAAACGCGCAGGCACTGATAAATGAACGTAGTAAATGCGCAGGCATTGATGAATGGACGTAGTTTAAGCGCAGGCAATGATGAATGAACGTAGTAAACCCGCAAGCAATGATGAATGAACGTAGTAAACGCCAGGCATTGATAAATGAACGTAGTAAATGCGCAGGCATTGATAAATGAACGTAGTAAATGCGCAGGCATTGATGAATGGACGTGGTTTACGCACAGGCAATGAGGAATGAACGTAGTAAACGCGCAGGCATTGATGAATGGACGTAGTAAAGGAGGAGGCATTGATGAATGGACGTAGTAAAGGAGGAGGCATTGATGAATGGACGTAGTAAACGACTTCAAATACCGAATGCTAACATGTGTCCACACATCATACACACGTGTCCACACATGGTACACACGACAATACACACGTGAACAACTCACTCAGCATGGTACACAACGACACTACACACATGGTACACACGACACTACACGTGTCCACACACGGTACACAGGACACTACACACATGGTACACACGACACTACACACATGATACACACGACACTACACACATGATACACACGACACTATACACATGGTACACACGACACTGTATACACGACACTACACACGGCAGCAAAGGATACAGTCTGATGGAGCCATGCTTGGTGCCCACGGCCAGGATCTTCTGGATGGGGTCGAAGGCGAGCGCCGTGGGCTGGTAGGGGAAGCCGTGTCGCACCGTCTGTAGGTACACGTATTAGAGTGATGAGCTTTAGTATAATGTTATATGAATAATAGTGATGCCTTAATAGTGATGTCTTACTGCAATGTTAATATGAATAATAGTGATGCATAAGACCTAAGCGTTATGTTAATGTGAATAATAGTGATGAATAAGACATAAGCGTTATGTTGATATGAATAATAGTGATGCATAAGACATAAGCGTTATGTTATAATAGTGATGCATAAGACATAAGCGTTATATTGATATGAAAAATAGTGATGCATAAGACATAAGCGTTATGTTGATATGAATAATAGTGATGCACAAGACATACCGTAAGCGTTATGTTGATATGAATAATAGTGATGAATACGACATAAGCGTTATGTTAATATGAATAATAGTGATGAATACGACATAAGCGTTATGTTAATATGAATAATAGTGATGCATAAGAGATAAGCGTTATATTGATATGAATAATAGTGATGCATAAGAGATAAGCATTATATTGATATGAATTTATAATAGTGATACATATGACATAAGCGTTATGTTGATATAAATAATAGTGATGCATTAAACATGAGCGTTATGTTGATATGAATAATAGTGATGCACAAGTCTTAACATAATGTTCATATGATTAATAGTGATGCATATGACATAAGCGTTAGGAAATAAGCATTATATACCATTGCTGGATCAGACCATTTGTAGGACGATGGTCCACGAAATGGTCGCATAGTCTGCTTGTCACTGATAGTCTACCCTTAAAATCACTTCCGACATAAATAAATCCTTCCGACATAAATAAATCCTTCCGACATAAATAAATCCTTCCGACATAAATAAATCCTTCCGACATAAATAAATCCTTCCGACATAAATCCTTCATCAATTTAAACAATCCACGGGCGGGTCAACAAGATATTACTGAACAATCGAGTTTCGAGGCTCAAGTTTTGAGTCTTTCGTAAAAGAACAAAATAAACGTAAACAATAATAATTAATCTACCGATTTGTAAGCTAAATAAATAACTTTCAAACAATACACATCAACAAATTATTTACATGGATTAAACCGCGTATTCTAAAATGATAATACACCTCAGGGCCTAACACGTTACTCACCTCCGCTCGAGCTCCGCAAAATTGAAATAACAACGAACAAATTTAATAAAACAAATTAACTTCAAGTAAAATTACACGCAAGATGATAAAAACTACCCGAACTTGGGATCACACCATAATGTTATTATACATAATGGTGATCAATGATCGAGACACTAATGTTGAGGAATAAGTTTTATTATTATAAATATTATCCTGTATGATGGGGTGCAACACAAGACACGTGCGCCATACCACATCGCCAACAACACCTCATATTGGATGTGAGGAGTGTTGAGGAATAAGCTTAATATTCAACATAATACTGTTATATTTGCTGGTGCAACACAACACACGTGCAACACAAGACCCGTGCAAAACAAGACACGTGCAACACAAGACACGTGCAACACAAGACACGTGCAACACAAGACCCGTGCGCCATACCTCACCGCCAGCAACACCTCATAATGGATGTGTGGAGTGTTGAGGAATAAGCTTAATTCATCATGATACTGTTATATTTGCTGGTGCAACACAAGACACGTGCAACACAAGACACGTGCAACATACCGCATCGTCAGCAACACCTCATAATGAATGTGAGGTCTGCACTCTGAGAGCCGCTAAGAGGGGAGCTTTTAGCGCCGTCTTACGTCTACCGTGACGATGATGTGCAGCATCACTCATCAGGACGATGATGTGCAGCATCACTCATCAGGACGATGATGTACAGCATCACTCATCAGGACGATGGTGTGCAGCATCACTCATCAGGACGATGGTGTCCAGCATCACTCATCAGGACGATGAAGGCCGCGGCTCTCGGCTTGAGTGTCCGCAAGACACAAGGCTCTTCGGACGCCATATCTTCAGTGCTGTGCAAGTAAATTCTTACAGTGGCAAAATAAGACAAATTTTTGCTAAAGTAAAGTTTTACGAACAAAAATATGTCAATGGTAGAAAAATATGTAATTAATGAGATACTTAACCTCCTTTTTCTCCTATAAGCATCTGAACACGACTTAGCATGGATTTAACCACGAAGTTGAACACACTTAAGCCCTTTCTTTATTATACCAGTCTCTCAACATGCACTTATTGGCTTAGTTACTGTCGAAGTCATCTGTCTGGAGTCTTCGTTCCAATATAGCCCATAGATTTTGCGATGGAATTGATGTCAGAAGAATTTGCAGGCGAGTCTAAAACATCCAGTATACTTTCTTCAAAGAATGTGCGTGTTGTACGTGAAGCATTTCTAAGGCCCAGAAGTCTTGTGTTGCACCAGCAAATATAATAGTATTATGATATACATATTAAGCTTATTCCTCAACAATTGTCACACCCATTATGAGGTGTTGCTGTCGGTGCGGTATGGCCCACGTATCTTGTGTTGCACCATCAAGTATTAATAATAATAAGGGTATTAATCAGGTATTAATAATAATAAAGCTTACTACTAAACACTAGTGTCTCATTGAGCAAACTCTCGAGCAAACTTAGAGGACCGTCAGCATGCAGCCGCGTAACGCCTTCACGACATCGTCGGCGTATTGTTAGTAGTGTGGAATTGTGTTTATTAATAGTATGCTACAAAACGCAAATAGTGATTTAAATGGCAAGTTTTGTAGCCTTTCATTAATGAGGCAGGGTGGCCTGCTAGCCGCGTCTAGCTCAGTTTATTTCCCTAAATACACGATTTATTCCCCGAAAGAGTCAATTTGTTCCCTTAAAAAAGAGTCAAAATTACTAGCCCAAAATAAAAGTTTGTAACACAGAAAACAGGATTTATACGTCAAATGAGGAATTTTATTCCCCCGAAATTAGGAGTAATTGTGGAAGTGGCTCGCCGCTGCGGGTCCATTTCTTACGATAAATCGCGCGGCAAACATGGACTTGCCATGCAAACCCATGATTTTTTGCAAGGTTAACCTTTTAACCTCTTGACGATTAAAATTAACCCTAAACTCTATCCAAGAACAACCCCTAACCCTAGGCCGGCCCCCTCCCCCACGTCGGGTTTAAAGTTCCTCAGCGTTTGCTTGGCAACACAAGACGCTGGGACGCCAGGGACGGCAGCCACGACGGCGTCCCAGGTTGGGCGCCAATTAACACTGAAGGGACGGCAGCCGCGACGGCGTCCCAGGGTGGACGCCAATTAACAATGAAGGGACGGCAGCCGCGACGGCGTCCCAGGTTGGACGCCAATTAACAATGAAGGGACGGCAGCCAACGGCGTCCCAGGTTGGACGCCAATTAACAATTAAGGGACGGCAGCCGCGACGGCGTCCCAGGTTGGACGCCAATTAACAATTAAGGGACGGCAGTCATGACGGCGTCCCAGGTTGGACGCCAATTAACAATGAAGGGACGGCAGCCGCGACGTCCTGAGCTCCACTAGACACGGCTGGTCGAGGCAGAGCTGTCACCGCCAGCCGGTGTGTGGCAGCAGCAGCGTACGGAGTAAACTATTAGCAAACAATAACAACCGATAAGAAATTATAACAAACAATAACAACCGATTAGAAATTATAACTAACTATAACAAACAATAACAACCGCTAAGAAATTATAACAAACTATAACAAACTATAACAACCAATAAGAAATTATAACTAACTATAACAAACAATAACAACCGCTAAGAAATTATAACAAACTATAACAACCAATAAGAAATTATAACTAACTATAACAAACAATAACAACCGCTAAGAAATTATAACAAACTATAACAAACAATAACAACCGATAAGAAATTTCAACAAACTATAACAACCAATAACAAATACTAATATCCAATACGAAGTAATAACAACCAACAACAGCACACCACACTCAACAACAACAGCCGACAACAGCCAATAAAAATAGGTCCATGTCGCAGGCTGCGTGCTGGAACTGATAAATGAGCTGACGCTGAGTACGGCACTGACGATGTGTGCACGACGTCAGCTGTGTGCACGACGCCAGCTGTGTGCTCGACGCCAGCTGTGTGCACGAAACCAGCTGCGTGCACGACACCAGCTGTGTGCACGACACCAGCTGTGTGCACGACACCAGCTGTGTGCTCCTCTCAGCACCTTTGGTAAGGCGTTAATTTAACAAACAGCCTCGGTCCTACCACGGACAGTGGTGATCCCTCACGAATAGTCTGTATTCTGGCCGCGGCTCGGTTATCAAATGGGGGAATCCTGCATAATCTCCCCATCTTGTCGTTGTAATATACTACTATTTTGGAGATCTCACTTTTAAAGTTGGGAGCCAGTCCGTTTATCATCTTCCAAGTGTACAGTATGATATACCTCTCTTCTTCACTCCATTGAGTACAGTCCCAGGTGTTTCAGCCTTTCCCAGTAGTTCAGGTCCAGCTCCCTCATACTACTAATCCTGGAAGAAAATTTCCGCTAGACTGACTCCAGTTTCCGTACCTCGCCAGCTCAGAGCGGTGCCCAAAGCTGGCAGTAGTACTCAAGATTTGGGAGCACGAGGGCTCAGAAGAGTGTTCATTGGCGCTGATTCCCTCGTTCGAAATGTCCGCCAGATCCAACCTGTGCCGGCTGTGCGCGACTATTTCCTCGATGTGGTCATCGAACGTGGTGGCTTCGGTATTCATCAACATGCCGAGATCTCGGACCAGTTGCTTCTCCTCAATTTCTTGAATTTCGGTCCCATCCGATGACAAGTAGCGTTGCGGCATCCTGGTCTCTGTGCCGACTCTGTATCTCATTACTGCGAACTTGGTGCCGTTGTATTGCATATTATTTCGTAAATTGTCGACAAGTCATTGGGTAACCTCTCGCCGTCGGTCATCTGTGATCCTCATCAGCACTCATGTATCGTCCGCAAATGACGATGAAGATGAGCGAGTAGGTATCAAGTTCCGAGTCGATGTAGGCGAT